CCAAATATGTTTATAGAAAACATAAAAAATATAATATAAATCAAATGTATTGTCATGATTTTTGTCGATCGTCGATTCTTAGTCAATGAATCAATAGCTGATATAGAACTAATACTGACAGAATATTCTTAACGATATATAGAATATCAATATCTTTTAACTTGATATTATTATCTGTTATTGAGAATGAAAAGTAATCGGAGATATTTTGTCATCAACTACTGTTATATATCTATACATCAGTCGACTAATGCTTCCCTTTTGTATATAATATTCCAATTTATTTCTTATCATTATTGATAGTAGAGACGTGTAAGAGAAAAGAATCAAATAGAACAGGGAATTAACATAAATCTAGTCATATAAAACGTGCTCATGTAGACATTTGTGCACAAGGAAATATTTCAATGAGGAGAAGAAAAACAACTGTGGTTAATTAGAGTTTCCAACTTTTATAAGATAACAAAGTTATTTATTAACGCACAAACAATTATAATCCGGAAAAAAGTCGAGTAAAGAGAAATATTCGTGGTTTATTTCAATATTTGTACAACTTATGTAAATCTTATTAATATATACTGAACGATTGTTCCAGATCATCAGTACATTTGATCAACATCGACTTTGTCTAGATTCAGAAAAACAATATTTATCATAAAAGGAAAAAAAGAAAGTCTACATATGCCCATACAACGTTTTCGCCTAAATATTCATTAGCATATAAAGTTGTTTTTGCTTGTGGTATCGTTGAAACTGCAATAGTATAACATTGCTGGTATAAAGATAATTTTAATTCGATTCGTATTCGACTTTGTAATTGTCGAAAAGTATCTAATAAAATGATACTTGTGTCCGAATATGATATCATCGTTCTTACACGCCAATTAACCATTAATGTATATGAACATTGATCAGAAAGCATAGAAAGTAAATTACCAACAACTTTGGATCCAGTTACAATCCCCACTAATGTGAAATTCGTCAACGAAAACAAAACATCATGATCAAATAATTGATCAATTGATTCTCCATCACGAATATCATTGTTCAATGTTATTTTAAGACGGCGTAGATTTGGAACTAGATGTTTGTTAATATTAGAAACTCGACTGAAATTGATTTAAAAAAAAAAAAGAAAAGATTTGTTTTATTTTCTATTTCTAATTGCATTCATCAATCTTCAAATCTATATAAACTATCATAGAACTAATTAATTAATGTATCCTATGAATTGATTACATCGAATTCTCTATTTTTAGTCATGTTTTAAGATTGTCAGATGAAAGCCTATCGAAAAGTATTAAGAGTCTCAACAAAATCTTTGAAGCAATTTCTAGTCTAATGAAATAAAACTTAGTGAGAAATTCTTGACTTTCAGCTATAATTTATTATTCTAAATGTAAGAAAAGAAACTTACTTGTTAATATGATTTTTCAATGGATGTTTATCAGGTAACCAAAGAGCAGACAAACCAAAGCTAAGATCTTGCAATTGTGGAAGATGTTCTAATAAATGTAATAAAAAGACTGGTGAACATTCTTGAATCACAATCGATTGTAGATTGAAAAGACTTGTTTTAACCGTTATAAAAACTTGATTGAGTGGTAGATTTAGTCGTTTGTCTAAATTACTGTATATATATCGCCAGAATTGTAGATGACATATACGTAAAAAAGGAAATAAATGAAAAATTCGTTCATAATATGCACCTTCAGGCACACCTGCATATGTATAAGCAGCACAACAATGAGCTGTAAATCGTATTGAAAACACGATGAGAGATGTATTCAATAAACACTTATTAAGTATCGACTCAAATATAGGACGTTCTATATCAATTAAAGATAAATGACGAAGATTGATGAAAGTAGATACATGTTTAGATAACCATAATCCATTATCAGAAAAGAATTCATCTGATACACATAATGAAATAACACGATGACATACATTTGATTGTGATAAATGTATATGATAGAATTCAGTTAAACTTATATTCGTAATATTTGAACCCAAATAAACAGGCATAAGTGGCATGTTATTAATAATAGCAGCAAATCGAGAATTAAGATTGGACAAACTATTGAATACTTCATGTAATTGAAAATAAGTAAATATTTCACGGAACAGTTCGATTGAAAGATCTTCGAATATTGTTATTGTCATATTTTATTTTGATATCAATCTACTGAATTATTATACAACATTCATTCTTAAATCCTTTCCTAAAAACAATAATACAAAGCGTTATTATTCTTTCTGCCTATAATATTATTTTTATTCGTCGAGTTCGTCAGTCAACGTACATGCCGTTTCTTTCTCTTAGGTCAATTCCTCGTTAGCAACAATTATTAGACGAATCATTAATTATACTTTTTCATATGTTGACAACGTTTTTTCAAGATAAACTTAATCAACCTTACTAATGAAAATAGCAATTGAGGTATTCATGATTTTTTACTACCCAATATCATCTTCTTATCTCCTATGTTCATCTTTTCCACAGCAGAAGATAATGAAAAATATAAGACATTAAAGAACTTGAATATATTTGAATAAATTCTGTACACCACTAACGAGGAAGGTACACCAACTTGAAAATCGCTTTTGAACTGATACTTTGTGCAAAAGTAGATACTAATGTCACATTAGTATCTACTTTTGCACAAAGTATCAGTTCAAAAGCGATTTTCAAGTTGGTGTATCTTCCTCGTAACACAATACTATCTTGAAGGTGTGGGTGTGTGTAAGGGTAATGAATGAGAAGAATACACACACCCACACTCTTTAACGAAGTTTTCTTATTATTCTATTCAAATTTGTTTCACTTACCAAAAAGATAATATTCTTATATAACAAAAATAAATTTCGAAATTATAAATTAATCTCATTTGAATTTGTTCTATAATACCGGATATTTATTTACAATATAGTATTAATAAAGAAAGTCAAAAAGATGATACTTCCATAAAGAGAACAGTTTAGATTTTGTTAATAAATAATGATAGATAAAAAAAAGTATTTTTTCAAACAACTCTATCAATACGAGCAACATTCGTAAAAACTAAGAAGTCTATATGTAAACATTCATTGGGAAACTAGAGTTTACAAATGAGAAAAATGTTTTAGAAATAATAACAAAAAGAACTCTAAAAGTGATGAAACATGTTTAACAATATGTTTCTATAATTAGCAATAATTTGTTTAGTAAACTATTCTTTTTTTTAATATCATAGTTGTAATAAATAGTTTTACGACTTGAGCATAGCTTGACTAATTATTAATGAAGCATATATCACTATAAACACATCAAATCATCGAAATTCTCAAGCAAAGGAAGTGCTATAAATCGAATTTAGAATTAGCTGGATAGTTTTTTTCTGTTACTGTTTGGTTGGTGCAAGAATAAAACTGGTTAGTTCTTTCATAATAATATATGTAAATAAGAATTAAAATCTCTCAGTTCATACTTTTTTAAAAGCCATAAATATTGACAATTATTTGTGGTGTAGTATGGGGATAAAGATATGGTTTCAAGTAACGAAGAACAAAGAGATACTTTAAGCGCAGGGTGTGGGTGGGTGTATGCCTTCGTTCTCTTATCTTGTATTCATCCACCCACACCCACACCCACACCACATTCACACCATACCCACGCTCACACCCGCAAGCAACAATATCGAATGCAGAAAAGTAACAATTCAGATTAATAAGTTTATTTGAATTATCAAAGGTCATGTAAATTTCCTGTGTTTTCTTTGAAGTAATACAAAAAACTGCTTGAAAATTCTTAAAAAGTATTTCAAAATTAACTTTGTTTGCTGTTGTCCAAACATTGACAATAAGGAACACGATCAACGTCATAGCTACGACGAACACGACCGTAAAGTGATTGATAACCCTCATCATAATCCTCATAAGAGTCAATATTAATATGACCCCGATAAGGATAACGATACTGATCATTATTTGTATAATTATCATAGCCGAAGCGACCACGGCATGTGCTACCGTTACGACGCTTGAAACGCTCCGAATATTTACCGTCGTCCCAACGTTTCTGCTCTTTTTCATCCCACTTCATGACATTAATTATCCATCGCCACGTTTCCATATCACCCGTATAGTACGAGTCACGACATTTACCGCATTTGGCACATTGGCGACCTCCACATTTTAGGGACTCATAAGTACCTGGTGCGGCAAATTCTAAATAAAAATTTAACATATGTAATACGAATACAATAAAATTAATCGATTAATTAGCGTGTTCCGTATACCTTGATGGCATTCTAGTGCCCGAAATTCAAGCAATGCGAGAGAAAACACCCAGTTAGAAGTCCTATGATAGATTACTTTCAACTATTCTCGTAAGATATAATTGCAATGATAACTGAAATTTCTCATTATGCGTACTTGAATGAAATATTACAATGGTCATTCGTTTTAGATAAGATAGCAACCCATTTCAATTTGTTGTACTCCAAAGATAGGGATCGAGCAAACTTTACATAAATGGATAAATGGCAGTTACAAAAAATATCTTATTTTGTGAGATATGGTTGGAAAAAGCTAAATGTACAGAATCAAGTCATGAAATATTCTATTCACCAAGTTGTTTATATGTTAGAGAACGCTTATTTTGTCACTAACAGATTTGAATTTTCATAGTTCACCTCAAAGTAAATGGTACGCTTTTGAAAAGTCTGTGCAGTGCATAGGTTTTTTCTGAATGACCTTTAGTATAATATAAGCATTCCATGATATAGTTTATCTATTGATGTTGGTGCTGTATGAAGATGGACAATTCGAGTCTATTTTTATTTACTTATCTGTTCTCAAATATTTTGTTATCAAACTAATTTTTTTAGTATTTAAACGGTCGACTGCAGACTAGCGAGATTTCTTAATTATATCACAATAAATTCGAACATATCGAATGACGTAACGTATTTTCAATTGACAAAGAGGTATAATAAATAATCATTTTAATGATGCCTTCGTTAAGGAAAATTCTAAGTCGTAAATTATGCAACAATTTGATAGAAAGAATAGAATATATTTGTGATTCAATTTAATAATTTTTTGAGAGTTTTAAAAAACTCCTCTAATGTCAAATCGCGATCGATTGACAATTGATTTTAATAATGAAACGCCAAATACATTACCAAGTTTTATCGGTATAGCAGTGATGTATAACAACAAAAATAAAAATAAAATCCTCTACCTTTTCAGCGAAGAAACTTCTATAAAACATTTACCTGTTATACATACAGAACCGAGAAGAATCTGGAGTTTGCTTCCTAATTGGTCGAGTTCTTCAATGCAATACTCGATTTTTGATGGTGGTTTTAGTGTGGACAGTTCTGTTTGTAATTGTTGTAAGAGGATTGTTAGTCTGTCCTTATCTTGCAATAATTCGACATAATTCTTGTTAGCAACCAGTCGTTCGAATTTTTCAAATTCACTTGAAAATGACTGTTGTTTGCTCTCGATTGCTTCTGAGTATTTTTCTATTGACGGTTTGCTCTTCTGTTCGATCACAAGAATCTGAGTTTTCATGGTTTCTTCACACTGATTAAGCATTTCTCGTAACATTTCGAATTGGTTTCTAATCTGGTTTATATTGCGGTTCTTACGGCCATTTATTAATTCATTCTTCTCGTTTTCTTTGCCCTTCAAACATTCTAGTGCCTTCGTAAATAGTTTCATTAACTAATTATACAATATAGCTTTGTCTTATAGTATTCTGATAATTCTCATCCAATACTTACATCATCTTTAGCTTTGTCGGATGCAGCATCATCATCGATCGAAGCGGGGGAATCGTTTTTGTGTTTTTTAGAAACAGAGCAATCGTCTGGAAACAAATACAAGCAAAAATGAATTATGTTAACGAATGAAAACTAGCAGAATTTATATGATTCATAATATTTAAGTATGTCAGAAGGGTGTGGGT